ACCAATCAGAACTGAGAAATTTTTTCATGTGTATTATTAATCAAGAAATAAATAACTATATGACCCATATGGCCCCGTGCAAATTTCCAGTGTAAAATGTTCATTATAAATCCCCATACGAGGGCTGTACATAAGCAAAGCAATGCAAAACTGTAAAGTTCTGCATGTTGAGAGGAAAAAAAAAAAAAAACAAATGACCAGCAATCATGTGATAAAATGCTCATGGACTAGGTTATGTGAGGCCACATGGGAAATGTTTGGGCCCTTCCTCATTACCTCAAGCCATAGATGTTCTCGTCTGACCCTTGAGCATAGCAATAATATTCTCAGTGTTTAAACAAAGAGTAATGTATTTACCTGGTCTGATAAGGGCAGGATCTAAAGTTTCAATTCTGTTTGTGGCCATAATAACCTGAAAACAAAAGGGACCAACTTTCAATGATACAAAACAAAGATTCTAAGTAATTATGAAAACTGCCATTCTAAAAATTTTGAAATCATCCTTCATGTTTTCTAATTGAGACCACTCCGATTTTGTGACTCTTGATGCACACCATGGCATAGCTATGGGGTCACCTTATTTATCTGTTAAGAGATTGCTTTCCATAATTTATGCTGAAATGTTTCAAGAGTATACTCCAATACAGATCACCTTCTGGCTATGATAGAACAAACTTTCTTTTGCATATCATAAAATTCTTGTGATGTTAGTTTGGTATTAGTTCAATTAATCTGTATTTGATATTTTTCCTTTATCTCATCACTTGCCTGCTTGAAATTGTATCATTTTGAGTTAATTTGTAAGGAGTCTCAGGAGAATTTATTTCTTGGTCTGGATTGAATGAGCAGGTTACTAATTCTACTTGAAAATCTAAACAGTCATGTTTGAACACCAGCCACAAAGATTACCTTTACATCTCCCTTGGAGTCAAATCCATCCAACTGGTTAAGAAGCTCCAACATTGTACGTTGAATTTCTCGTTCTCCTCCAGAATTAGACTCTTATCTAAGGAAATAGATAGGATGGTGAGAGTTGACACAAAATACTTAAAAAACATGAAGTAAACAAAACACAGGAAAGGGTTTGTGTTTGTGGGATGTGATAAATGCTCTGCTACTGTATGAGATAGTTGATGAGCTGTATTTACAGTACATCTTAGTTACACACCTTTTGGTTCCGACAGCATCAATCTCGTCGATGAAAACAATTGATGGGGCATGTTCCTCTGCAACTCGAAACATTTCTCTGACCAACTTAGGACCATCACCCTAAAACAGAAAAAATAATGTAAAGAAAGAGCTAGGAAGCTATGGAAGACAATGAGTTAACATGGAGAGTATGAATTTAAATCATATTCTATTTTGTCATCAGAAGCTCTACTGATGGGGCTGTGCACCACTTGCTGGCCATCTCATTTGGTTACCAACAAGAAAATTTTTGTGACAAGTACCTTGCAGGCAGCTAGGTTCAGAATGTTGAAAGCACCTTAAGTGAGGACCAAGGATGACAGATTGTTCATTTTAAGCTTTGTCATCAAGGAAAGAAAGATTTCATTACATGACAAATGAGCTTAAAACTTGACATTTTTCTTATGCTACTTCCCACACATATTACTTTACTACAATTTTCAGTGGATGGAAGTTTAGCAACTGTTGTTGTTGTCTTGCCAAATAGCCCTGTTTCTAGCAATTAGTTTTGTTTGACCTCTTTTGGTGGAATCTCATGTTTGACATTTTGATGATGCATGGCTGTTGAGATTTCACTACCTTTGAAAACAAGGAAGGTTGCCTCTGACAATACCATAATTTCAAGGTTGAAACCCTGTAACTAAACTCTTACCAAGCCTCACT